TTCCCCTTTAGAGCAAGATATTTCTGCTTTAGATAAACATCATTCCCTCCAAATAAAGAAACTCACAGAACAAGCACAAAATACATTTTTGTCCATACTGAAAGCGGTATCAAACTGCCTCTAATTGGTTTTCAGGATTAAGTCTTAATATGTGGTCCCTTACAAGAATAGCCATTCTGTGTCTGCCTCATCATACCATGCATTTGCCAATTTTTGTAAAGGACCACCAAGAGATGATGTTGATTCAGGCTGTCCCTATAGTACATTATATGTAGACTGCTCTTCACCAATGGGCACCTCCATGGACACACTAATAAAACAACAAGAAGGAGAAACTGTGATGATACATTGTTCTGAAAAATCTACGAGACAGGAACATTTTCTGGACCTCACAGACAGAGTTAATAATCCCCTTGAGGTCACTTAAGACTGCTATCTTACTGTGCATGCAAACTGTTTATTTAACCTGCCTTTGAGAGAACAGTGTAGCAATCAACCTTACTTGCAGTGGTTTTCCCATGTAATCAACCTTAAAAACCTAAGATAATGGATAGCTGTAATCTTCTTAAATTATGTACTCTTTTATGTCCCCGAGTCAGAATGTGTATTGTATGTATGCATGTGTATCATTTGCTACAAACAGAAAATACAGAATTTGAAAGCAATTTTCTAAAAATCTACTCTAAAAGTTGAAAACAACCATTTATGAATATCGGTTAATGAAAAATAATGTTTGTTATATGGGTCAGTTGGGATCAGTTGGAATAAGTGACTTAATTCCTTGTAAAACCATGTTATAGATTTCTGTAAAGTATCCTATTCCTTCCCCCATGTGATGCTTTCTGTGCTGTTCCATAAATGCAGATAAAAGCCCTTTGTTAAATACATAAGGCTCATACAACAGCCAGACAGCCAGACACAGTCACACAACAGACACACCAAGACAGAGCAGATTCACAAGACAGCCTTCAGGCAGACACACTCAGATTTATACAACAGACAGAGGATGAATGACATATGGAGCATGCATGAAGTAAAGAATTCAGATCTAGACATGCTCTTGGTTAAATGGCCCCAAGGGAGAATGTTTTTATTTCTTTCCTTAATGCTACACGAATGCGTCATTGATGAGTTGGTGTTAATCACTAATATATGTAATTAACACAACTTCTGTTGCTGGGTTGATATATCCTGAGAAGAAGCAGCTTGGAGGGAAGGAGGTTGATTTCACTTTACTATTTCAGGTGATACTCTATACTGCAGAGAAGCCAAGGTAACAAGTCCTTGAAACATCTCATCATATCAAGAGCAGAAAGAAAATACATGCACATGAGTGTACTTGCTTATACTTAGTTTCTCTAGTTTTATACAGTTCAGGACCCCCTGACTAATGACTGGTACCACCCAGAGTGCGCTATGACTTCCCACACCAATTAACTTAAGACAATTGCCCTACAGACATGCTCACAGATAATCCCTCTCATTGAGATTATCTTCCTGTGTGATTTTAGGACATGTCACATTAAGAGTTAAACTAACCACCATAGATACACAAGAGAAAGCTAAATCATAATTCCCTGCCTCTGAGCACAAACTTCTTCGAGACACACATCACTATAACCAGATGGTGGGAAGGAGCTATTTCTTCATCTTGCTGGAGGTATGTCTACAGAATAGAAAAGAGGCCATAAGTTGAGCAAAGAAACAAAGAGACAAATTTATGGGTGAATAAAACATCTAAATGGAGAATCTCCAGAGAATAATTATATTTTTTAAATAGCACTGTAATGGGAATGACAGGATATGGCAGTGTCAATATGGGGTCTTAATAACTGTGGGTATGTGTATTCAATGAGGTAGAAGCAAAGGGAAGGTTTTGAAATGAAAGTTAAAAAAAAATGTTACATCAGTTATTTTGAATCAATCACCTTTGGCCGCAATTATTAATAATAAAAATGACATCAGTCCAAACAGCAGCTAGGCAGTTGTCCTTGTAAGAAGCACTTCTTATAGAAGGTTGTGCTGGTTTCCATGGAAGCTTGTAATTCTGGATGGATTTGTGACAGGTACTTCCATGTGTTAGAATTCTCTCTTCATAACCTCCTGCTTCGGTTTCACTTTTTTCCATAGAGCTTAAACAAGGGACTTCATTCTGATCCTGATGACTTGGGCACATTTTTAAAAACACAAAATAGCACATTTTTAAAACCACAAAATAGCAAAAAAAAAAAAAATAATTACGAGGATGAGGTCGAACTGCATGCAGCCTCCTACACACTAATAAAAGGTATGCTTTTAACTTCAGCTGAGGAGTTAGAAAAAAAAAGAAACTACATAATCATTTTAAATTTTTGTATGTGTGTGTGTGCATGCATATATGCATGCATATATGCAGTATATGAACCTGTCTATACATGTAGAAACCAGAGAAGAACATACCACCCTCTACTACTCTCTGCCTTATTCCATTGAGACAGAGTCTCTCACTGAACCTGAAGCTAGCCTGGCAGCCAGAAAGTCCCACTGATCTCATTATCTATGCCCACCTCCCTTAAGCACTGGTATTACAAGACTGTGCACCACACTTGGCTTTATTCATGCATATAAATATATGCAGAATATGAACCTGTCTATATGCCTCTGAACTTGGGTCCTCAGAAACTTGCTCAACAACTGACCAATCAAGATGTGTGTCTGTGATATAGATAGATAGATAGATAGATAGATAGATAGATAGATAGATAGATATAGATATAGATATCAGGCCTTGCTGGTAGCTGTATTTCACATGCACAAAAGAGAAAAAAAGTATTTTCCTATCATTCTGATGAGGGAATGGATGGACTGGAGACATTCGTCAGAATTAGATGTGGAGTGTATGTGCTTCTGTGGGGGATAGGGATGGGGGAGAAGGTAAGGGAAAGAAAGAGGGGGAGAAAGATAGGAAGTATGAGAAGGGAGAGAGAAAGAATGATAAAAATGTTTACTCTAGGCAAATAAAGAATTATGTCATCAGGAAAATATCTTCCACTCTTTTAACTCACCACAGCTCTATAAATTGCCACATACTGACTTAGCAATGATCCAAGGAGACATTTTTCCCCTCCTATTGAACCCCTGCCCATCGTCCCTCCTCGATGTTCGAATGTTTACTGTCAGAATCTTCTACAGGCCTTGTGTAGGCAACTATAGCTACTGTGAGCTTGCGAGTGCAGCAGACCTGTTATGTTCAGAAGATCCTGTTTTGTCCTTGTCCTCCCCAACCTCTGACTTTTACGATCTTTCTGCCTGCCCTTCTTCATTGTCTTCTAAATCTTGGCTAGGGAATGATTAAGTGTTCCATTCGTGACTTAACATTTATCATTATTTACTCTCTGCACTTTGGCCACTTGTGAGTTTCTGATTTACCAACCATCGACAACCCAAAGATGCTTCTCTGATAAGGACTGACAGCTGCACTAATGTATGGATGTAAAGATAAAAGTTTCAAAAGCGGGTTGATACTACTGTCCATTTAATGATAGTGTAGGTTCACCTCTTGGACCTATAAGCTCCCCAGCCATTGGGAACCATTTAAATTGCAAAATCCTTCAAAAAAATGTATCACTGTATATATTATGAAAGGGACACTTGTTGACAGCAGGAGGGATGAATCAAGGATTATGCTGTTGGTTTATTGGGACATCAGTTGGAGTCGTGCTCTAAGGGTGACCCAGATTTATCAAAACTGTATGTATGTGCATAAGTTCCCACCAAAGCACTGCAAGCATTGCTCTGGTGGTGACAAGTAAGAGGAATAAGGAAAAGGAATTTGCAAACGCAATTTGAAACTATGAAACAAAGTAGGAAGACTGGATGATCATGTTGAACATTTTGATGGCTAGTTTGAAAGACACATGGGAATATACAGTATGGAAAGGATAATAAAAAAAGAAGAAATAAAAGAATTCACAGAGATCCCCTGTCATGAATTGATCACTTATATATTTAGATGAAGACTGGTTGACCTGTTCTCTAAAATGCTCTGTGCAGGTCGGGCAATGATGGTGCATGCTTTTAATCCCAGCATTCATGTGGCACTGAGAAATCCTGTCTGGAAAAACAATGCTGAAGTGAGATCAGGTAAGAATTATCTTGGCTGGGAGATCAGGTAAGAATTATCTTGACTGGGTGTGGTGGCATACACTTTTAATCCCAGCACTTGAGAGGCAGAGGCAGGCAGATCTCTGTGAGTTTAAGGCCAGCCTGGTCTGCAAGGAGAGTTCCAGGACAGCCAGGGCTGTTACACAGAGAAACCAAAAAAAAAAAAAAAAAAAAAAAAGAAAGGAAGGAAGGGAGGGAGGGAGGAAGGGGGGAAACCGAGCTGGAAGATGACTCAGTGGGTGAAGCACAAGCTGTGTAAGTGCAAGAATCTAAGTCTGGTGCAGAGTGTGCCTCTAACCCCAGTGCTGTGGCCCTAACAAGGATCCCTGCGGCTTGCTAGCCAGCCAGTCTAGCCAAGCTGGTGAGCTTCTACGTCAGTGAGAGACTGTCTCAGAAAATAAGTGTAATGGGGTGACTGAAGCAGACATCCAGTCTTGACCTCTAGTCTCCATACAGGAATGCACACCCACATACACATATATACTACAGGCACACACACACAGACAAACAAATAAATGAAAATAAAAACAAATCTGGACATGGTAGTACACACCTGGGACCCCAGAACTTAGGAGGTGGAAACAAGAGAATTGCTATGTAAGATGTGTCTGAAAATCACACCAGGGCTGGAGAGACGGCTCAGCAGTTAGTACTGGCTGCTCTCCAGAGGACCTGAGTTTGGTTCCTAACACCCACGTTGGATGGCTCACAACTACTTGTAACTTCAGCTCCAGGGGAACTGACATCCCTTTAGTCTCTTCTGAGGGGACACACTTACACAACACACACAAACAAAAAATAAAACCTAAAACCAAAACCAACAAAATAAAAGCAATGAACAACTTTGGTGGGGACCTTCTCTGCTCTACCCCACTGAACCCACTCAGTGCACCCATCCCCTGCAGCTGGCCTCTCCCACTGACATTTCAGCATCAGTGCCCATGGCTGTGAGAGTGTTTCATAAATCTCCCTGGCCAGGGAGGAGGCCATTCCATATGGCTGCTGAGGTCCTGGCAGTTACTGTGACCTCAGGCCTTGAGGAAGCCCATCCCAGCTGAAGTCTTGGGGTGCTGCTGGCAACTGGATTACTACTCATGGTCCCCTATTCCCAACAAGCAGCTGAGGTGCCAAGACCAGGACTCCTCCCCAGTGCCCTGAGACCCCCAGCTGGGGCCAGGAGGTGAACACTAGCCACCACCAGGGCCACTTGCCTCAGATTTCCACTGCGGTCGCCTGAAGCCAAGTGCTGGCCATCAGGACTGACCTGCATGACTCGGACCCCAGCTTTCACATCCATGGGTGTCCCGTTCTCATTGCCCCGGTCTGGGAAGTGAGACACGTCCTGCAGGTGCTGAATGTCATTATCCACATATACCACCTTCAGCAGGGTCTGTGGGAAGAGAGGCTAAGGTCAGCATTGCAAGGAGCTCACAGCACCTCTGAGTTCAGTGCATCCCGTGGCATGGACCTTACTGAGGAACAACCCAAGCACTGGGATTACAGGCATGTGACACTACACCTGGCAAGCTTTAATTTTTAATCATGCAGAAGACAGTGCTATTGGCTGGCGAGGGAAAGTAACAAAGGAGCGGTTTCCATGCTCCTCCTGCACCACAGGCCTGCATTACTGCTGCCATACTGACCTTTGACGGTTTTCCCAGTCACCAAGTTTGGTGTTACCCCGGGGCCTTTGCACAGGTTATTCCAGGTATGGCACCTGTCCCCTCCTTTGTTTACCCCATCCCTCCATACTAGGGCTGATGTGCTCCTTCCAGAGGAAGCTGCTGCCGCCGATCACGCTCTTGGGACAGTATGGGCAGGGCCATGTGCTAACAGCATCCTGTTGTTTTCTTCCACAGTGCTTCTTGCACTGGTGCTTGCACACGACTGGAAGTTACTGCACCCCTGTCTGTCTCCCACTAGACTTGGAGGTGCCACAGAGGCAGAAGGGGGTTTTAGCATGAAGTACAATAAACAGAGTGATTCAGCTCTCAGCAACCCAGAAAAGCTCCCTTGCTGGCCTAGCAGCACTGACCAAAATGTCTTCAGCAAACTGTTTCTCCTGAGCCTCCAGCAGGCCTCTCCCTGGGCTCCTGCTAGCATACCAGCCGAGGTTCCCTGTGTGACAGCTACTGAGGTGAGGCATGCCACTGCCTGGCTCTGCCTACTGTACTCTCCCTGAGTTGTGACTCAAGGCTTGGAGACAAGGTCATCTCCAGTGAAGGTGCTAGACTGCCTGAAGTGGACATGCACGCACACAGCAGAAGTTAGGTGGAAAAGAAAGAAGACGACTCATGCCACCCACCACAGAAAGGGAGGGAGGAACAGAGAGAAACAAGAAAGAGTGCCCCGTCTCAGTTCCTGGTTCCTGCCCCCAGGGAAACCTAACATCTTGTTCCACGAGGAAGGCTTCACTGCTCCTAGAAACCGGATTACAATGGAACAACTCACATCGCTGAAGATGTTTTTCTGCCACTGAGCATCAGAGCTGCTACCCATATTCCAGAAGCGGATGGTGTTGTCTGAGGAACAAGTCAGAAAAGACCCGGACGGCAGACAAGCTCTCTGATCTTCAAACTCTGGATACACCTACAGTCCCAGAGAATAAAGCAACACTGAACGATGGACGATGATGATGGTGATGATGTACTGCTGCACGTGGACAAAAGAACTAAGATAAAGCTTGAAATGGTGGTGGACTATGCCTGTAATCCCGGCAGTTGGGAGTTGCGGCAGGCAAATCTGAGTTTAGGGCCAGCCTGGTCTACAGAGTGAAGTGCAGAACAGCCAGGGCTACACAGAGAAACCCTGTTTTGGGGGGAAAATACCAAGAAAAAAAGAGAGAAAAAACATTTTGAGGACTACTTAACAAGACCTTGCCTCAAAAGAACAAGCCAGGAGCAATGGTGAAAGGCAGCACCTGGGAGGCAGAAGCAGATGTCTCTCCCTGAGTTCAAGACCAGCTAAGGCTACACAGTGGACCCTGTCCAAAAAATGTGTGTGTTTCCCAGACAGAAATAAAAAGTAGAAAAAAAAAGAAACAGAAAATATGACCATTTTCAGAATTGAATGATTGCTGCCCTCTAACTCTGGTATATATGATGTGGAAAAACATAACTAATAGGACATTCTCATGCTATAACTCCCTGTGCCTCTGACACCTAGGAGCCATTGGTGCCCTGAATGAGTTAGCAATTAGCAGGATGGGGTCCATCAGTGGCAGGGTACTTGAGTAGTATGGATAAAGCCCTGGGTTCAGTCCTCAGTAGCAAAAATGAAAGCAAAATCTAAACAACAACAACAGAAATACCCGTGCCAGTTCCCACTGGAAAAATAAACAAGGGTTTCAAAAAATGGCTGGGTCCAGGTCTGGACAATAAATGTACAAGATGAAGATGAAGCATCTTGGCATCCACCAGCAAGGTGCTACCAAAGACTACCAGGGCTGTTTCCAACCCCAGAAGCCAACTTCAAGAAACTCCTATTAGCTGGGAATGAACAAGTTGAACTGCAACAATGTTAATGGTGGGAGACAAAAGCATATCTGAAATATTAAAACATATGGGTTATGTAAGGCTATGAACCAAAGCTACCAGGTATGTTCAGCAGGCAGAGAATCGATTGGTTGTCTAGGAAAAGGGCAAGCAGAGGGAAAGATCAAGCATCATTTAGCCATCACTGGATGAAGTGTACCCAGTGCCCAAATAGTACAGAAAGAGAAGGTACTCATTAATGTGAGTGGGCCAACTAATCAGAGAACTGACAGCATAATATTATCCCATAGTGAACCCCTCAAACACATATGGATTTGGGGGCTGGAGAGATGGCTCAGAGGCTAAGAGCACTGGCTGCTCTTCCAGAGGTCTTGAGTTCAATTCCCAGCAACCACACGGTGGCTCACAACTGTCTATGAGAGCTGGTGTTGTCTTCTGGCCTGCAGGCATACCTGTAGGCAGAACACTGTATGAATAGTAAGTCTTAAAAAAAAAAAAAAGAGTCGCGGGGGTGGTGGCACACGCCCTTAATCCCAGCACTTGGGAGGCAGAGGCAGGAGGATCTCTGTGAGTTCGAGACCAGCCTGGTCTACAAGAGCTAGTTCCAGGACAGGCTCCAAAANTTTATTTTTAACTCTCTCTCCCTCTCTCTCTCTCTCTCTCTCTCTCTCTCTCTCTCTCTCTCTCTGTGTGTGTGTGTGTGTGTGTGTGTGTGTGTACACATGTGTGCAGGTACTCACGGAGGCCAGAAATTGATGTTGGATCTCCTGAAGCTAGAGTATAGGTGGTCACATGCCACTTCACATGGGTACTGAGAAACAATTCCAAACCACTGGAAAAGTAGCACATTGTCTTAACTACTCAATCATGTCTTAAGCCCCTTCTTCGTTGTTTTGTTTTTATTACTTGGTCTTGAAAAAGATGAGGAGATGCTAGGTTAAAGGTTGGAGTGGAGCTATGGATACAGCTTCAGGCATATATTTCTCTCTCTGTAACAAAATACCTTAGTTAAACAGCTTATGAGGAGGAAGGGTTTATTTTTTGTTCTAATTCATAAGATCAGGCTCATGGTTGGCCCTGTTGCTTCTGGCTCTTTGCTGAAATGATTCACCATAGCAGGAAATGTGTGGTAGAACCAGCTGTTCACTTCATGACAGCCAAGAAACAAAGAAAAGCCTGAATCTCTTTCACCAATATACCCTTCCCACCGCATGATGCAAGACTTAACTTCCTCCCATTATGCCCCACCTCTTAAAGGTTCCACGACCTTCTAATAACCAGACAAGCTGATGACCCAACCTTCAACATACAGGCTTTGGGGCAAACTTATCCAAGTCATGGCAAGTAGAAAAGTAAATATCCTATGAAGAGAGAAGCTCTAGAAAATTTCAATCAACTGATTACACATATCCTAAGCTCTCAGCATATAGCTACAATCCTGTATAAGCTTAAGGCATTTCCACAAGATACCAACTCTCTACATAACAGAGGATGTCTTTCCAAACCAATTACTTTAAAGATTTGTTTGTTTATTTATGACTTTCTATGTATGGGCATTTGCCTACATATGTCATGTACTAGCTGCACTACCTATACGCCTGGTGCTCATGGAGGTCTAAAGAAGTTATGGGATCCCCTGGAGCTAGAACTATAGGTGATTGTGGGTCTCTGTGTGGGTTGCAGAAATAGATCCCAGGTATTTTACAATAGCAGAAAGCACTCTTCACAGCAAAGTACCCACCACTTCAAGCAGTGAAATTTTGATAAGCACACAGCCTCTTGTAATGGTTCTCATCTTAATGCCGCTTTACAGCTCCCAAGGTCTCTTCACACATGGAGGTCATACACAATCATCCAAAGGCAATTTTCCCAAGCATCCATATTTCCCTGCCACTCTGCAATCGCCTTGCTTCTAGGCATTTTGCTGCATCCCACTGCTTTTGTAGCACTGTGAAGAAAGAGAAAGCCCGAGGGACTCATGTTTGTCATGCATTAGTGATCCTCACAAGAGGCGGGGGTAGGATAAACTTAAAATGCAGTGGTGATTCTGGGTTTGTGGATTAGTTTCCCACCGTGCCTCCTTTTGATCCTCTGAATATAAAGGAAGAAAGCATTTCTGATCCATTCCTCCATTATGTCAGGGTTCAAGTAAGCACCAGCCACTGCAAAGGTCCATGTGCTTTAGTCCACATCTGCATTCATACAAAATGGGACATCTTGAAATCTCTGCTGTTTAGACCTCACAAAATCACCTTGATGCTCCACTCAATTTTACTTTCTATAATACTTTGGTCCCTTAATCCCTCCTAAAGGAAAGTTCTAGGATTGTCACTCAGTCATATCACTAGAAAGAAAACCCATCATACACCCACGACTATATGCTAAGACCCTATTGCTGAATATACAGACAAATCAACCTTGAACTAACCAGGGAACTTCCTCCCTGTTGGCTAGCTTTCATAGAGTCAGGAGGATCTGTGAAGGCTGCTGGGAGACAAACAGACATCAATGACCTTAGCCACAAATAAATCCTGTGTGATCTAATATTGACCTGCCAAGTGTGATGTACACACTGATACAATAGTGAAGACTATGGGGGTGTCTTAGTTGGGGTGTCTATTGCTGTGGCAGAATACCATAGCCACAGCCACTCTCATAAATGAAAAACATTTCATTGGAGTGGCTTACATTTTCAGAGGTTCAGTTCATTACAATCATGGCAGGACATAACAGCATGCAGGCAGACATGGTGCTGGATACATCATGATCAGAAGGCTACAGGAAGTAGACTGTGCCACTGAGTGGTATCTTGAGAATATATGAGACCTCAAAGCCTGCCTCCACAGTGATAAACTTCCTCCCACAAGCCCATATTATTCCAGCAAAGCCACAGCTCCCAATAGTGTCACCCCCTTTCAGGGCCTTTGCTTTCAAAGCACCACAGGGAGTACCAAGCACTCTATTGATTAGATTTAAGCCCTACTCTACAGAAGAGAATTCAAGCCTGGTACTGTAAACATGGTTAAACCCCATGGCTTGCGAGGTCCTAGGCTCTATAGGAGAACCTATTGATGTTGTTTTGCTGAATGGTCATGTCGTCATATAAACCATATATATGTGATGGATGATTGATAGATAGATAGATAGATGATAGATAGATAGATAGATAGATAGATAGATAGATAGATATACAGGGAGATATGTGCTGTTTTCAACCTTGATCAGAGAAGTTTCTTACTGAAGTGGTTACTGGTTATTGTAGAGATGAATCACTGTTCAAAGTTTTGTGCATAAGCAACTGTCAGTGGTCAACCGTAAATATGGCATCTATATCAATTATACTCCAACTCCAAGGCTCAAGAACTATCATGGAATACAAGGCAGAAAGAACCAGAGAGTGGAAAGAAGTGATGTGAAATACTGTCAATGGTATATGACACAGCTGTTGTACACGTAAATTCATAGATGGTACAGTTACCGCCACAAGACCTGGACAAGATGTGAGCATTGGAGAGGGGAATTGAGGATAGATATGATCAAGGCCCTAAAGAGGAACATACTACTCTTGTTGGACTACGTGCCTATCTTATGAAACCCCCTTCCAAATATTTTCAGAAAACAGAAATGATGGGTAGAGAATATGAAGCAACAATAGTTGAAACCAGGTCAACTCATTTCTAGGAATAGATGAGTAATGCAGAGGGACTTTTTAGTCATCATCTCTCCCTAGTCCCACCTCTGGCTCCTCTTCCTCTTTTTTTATTTACATTGATTTTAGTGGATAAGGTACATGTACCAAGGGATAAGTGTGGATACAGAAGAAGAACCTGTGGTTGTTGGTTCTCTTCTTCTACCTAATGGTTTTGAACTTAGTTGTTAGCAGATAATTCTCCCCTTCCTTCCATTTTACCGTTCTATTCCTCCTCCTCCTTCTTTTCTTTTCTCTATTTTTTCATTTAATATCTTTTCCTAGGTTGTGAAAGAAAATTTCTTTTCCCTTTCTTCTTTCATACCACATAGTTCACTGGACTGAACCTTGAGGCAACACTTGATAGAACAAACTAGAGCTGTTTAGAAATCTCAGTTCAGTTACTGCTGCACACATGCATTTACTTCAGGATTCTTTGAACTCCATCTCCCCTGCTAGTATATCAAATATTCTTTTTATTTATAAAGATGTATGACTATGAGTTATCTGTCTCTGGAGCCGAGTGAAGCAGAATGCTGGCCTTTAAATGTTTATGACGCATATGGCATGAGCAACTTAGTACTAGATGTTCCTCATACACAGAGCACATTGGGTGTATTATGACTATGCTAAAGGTTAAGTATTTCTTAGAAAACTCACAGGGAATTTTCTTGTCATTATCATGATATTGGGATGTAGAACCCTTAGTAACTAATTACGTCATAGGGATTCTGGCCTCATGAGTGGATCCATGGTGATAACACAGAAAGAGTACGTTGACTTGGGTGTGGCTTTGTTATAAACTGTCATTCATATTCTCTTCTTTTCCTCATCCATCCTTCTCCCCCTCTCCTCTTACCTCTCTCTATTATCTCATGAGTACCCTTTTGCTCTGTGTGCCTCACGCCCTCATCCATCCTTTCTCCCCTGTTTCACTCCCTCTATTCATGCTTCTCCTTCCTCTCTGCTATCCTATGCGTACCTTTTTTCTTTGTTTCATTCCCTCCATGCACACTCTCCCTTCACTTCTCTAGCCCTTCTCTCCTCCTCACTCTTATTCTCACTCTCATTTTCACAAGAATCCCATGGTTTAGCTCTGAAGTGTCCTCAAAAGTCAAGATAAAGGCTTGCTCTTTGATAATGATGGCATTACTGGGAGGTGATAAACACTTTAGGCAGCAGGAAACAGGTGGAAGAAGATGGTATTTAGAGGTGCCTTTGAAATTTGCCTTGTTTCTTTCCCTTGTCTCTCTGGTGTTCTCTTCTTTCTGGTTCCCAGTAACTGAGCTGCACCGTGCCTATTCCATCTTAATGCTCTGCCTTCCACATGCCTTTCCACAAGCAATGGAGCGGAGTAATCATGGTCTGAGACTCCTAATACCATGAACTAAAACAAATATTTCCTCTGTTGGTGTTTTGCTGAGCTGTTTTCCACAGTGACAGAAGCTATTTGTCATGTTTTGTTTTTCTGTTTGTTTGTTTGTTTGGTTGGTTTGGTTTGTTCAGGGTTTGTTTGTTTGTTTGTTTGTTTTGCTTTGTTTTAAGAAAGGATTCACTGTGTAGTCCTAACTGTCCTGAAACGCACTCCACGGAACTAGTTGGCCTGGAACTCACAGAGATACACCTGCATCTGTCTCCCAAGGGCTGGGATTATAGGCGTGTGCCACCACCACCCTGCTCATTGTTGTGTTGTACTGCAGCACCACTATGTATTACCATCTCATCGGGGTTCTCTAGGGTACTGCCCAAGTATTGCCTCTGTTTGACACA